TAATTAATGTATCTCAACAATTTATTTTCTTGTATTCTTGAAACCAGTTCATTTGTATTTAAAAAGACAATGTCTGAGCAAATTTTACACTCAAAAAACAGATTTGCAGCAGTTAAATTAGATGCATGCCAACATTTTTGATTTTAATCATATTTAACTTCACCTTTGTCACATTTAATATTTCTACCTGTGATAATTTGAGCTGGAAAGATTACTTTCAAATTTTTATCATCAGCTTTGCAAAGATTAGATACAATCATTGGAAACGCACAAATATCAACATGTAAATTTTCAAGCTCAGTTATGTCCCAACATCCTTCCATCATAGTGTTATCGATGCTTGTTTTATTCATAAAAAATTTCCAATGGGCAACAGGTTCTTGTGCTTTCAACTGAAAAAAAAATATATTAACAATTTGTCTAACAATCTCATCATTCAAGCTTTCAATTTTTGACAATTTTTCTGGGTTTTTAATTGTACGATAACGATTCATTAAATCTAGAATATCTTTTTGTAATGTTGCAATCAATGGATGTTTTTTATTTTCTTTGCCAATAGCAATATCAGAAAATCCACAATTTCCAAGAACACTACCATAAATTTGTTGTCGTAATTTTGTTGAAGCAGCTTTGCTAACTTCATTAATTCCAGTACGATTTATTGAAATTGAATCTGTTAACTTCAACAGTTGTTCTGTTGTCTTAACTACTTTCATTTCTAAAGTCTGTAGTTGCTTTTCATCATCATGTTTATCACCATCTTGTTTGCCATATTTATCATTCTCTTCAAGTTCAAAGTAATCATTAGTTTTTTTGATAATGGTTTCAATCACAAGACGTTCTAATGCACCAGGAATCAGATGTTTAATCATCTTTATATTACCAGTGATTGAGCAACCAAATTTTCTCAAGAGTTCTTTTACCTCCGATTCATTAATTTCAACTCTTCTCATTGAACAAAGTCTTTCTAAATTTATATGTAAGTTATAAATGTCTTTTAATAATTGATCAGCATAATTGGGATCTTGAACTCTTAGTTGGAAATTCGTTGCATCA